CATCCTAGTCCAAGGGGCCTTTTCTTTTTTTTTTTTTTTTTCCTTTTTGTCTTTTTTTCGTGTCCGGCAACGGATCGCAACCCTCAGTGTCGCGCCCGTACCGGACCAGGACCGGCAACGGGATCGCAACCCCCAGTGCTGCACCCATACCTCGCTCAGCCAGTGAGCGGGAACCGGTCTGTATGTGGGATCCGAACACTGGGCCGGCCCCCAAGGGGCCTTTTCTAATGCAGCCTGTTCCCAATGACTGGATTTCTGGATTTTACTGCTAGATTTGCTCCCTCCTCCGCCACAAACACATGCATACAAAGGTACTTCAAAATGTTTATGGAAAGATTTGTATTATCTTTCACTTCTATTTTTCCACAAACATTTTGAAGTACTCTTGTATATAAACACACATACACACACATGCACACTATGGTATCCCCAAAGCCTGACAGAGCCTGGAGCTATTCAGAACTGATGTTCAATAAAGTGAATGAATGATGAATGAATGAAAGAAAACTCCAGAAAGCATGAAGCAAGTGCACCGAGGACATGAATGTTTCTTTCTCATATCAGACATAATGGAATCTGGGAAACTCATGGAGATCAGCTGGGTCTAAGCAGGCATTAGGAGATTTTATACAGGTAAACTCTAGCATGAACTTAACATATAAATGCACATTTTAGACACCTAGAGCCATCCTACATGATACAAGTTCAAAAATGTCCTGGAATGTGAACTGTACCAAAAAACTTCGTAAGTCTTGGAAACTGTATTCTGATTTCTTCCCAGAAGTTTTTAATCTTTTCTTGAACTTCTATGTTAAATCTGAACTCCCAGTTGGGCCCTCAAGTCATCAAAAACATAAGTTGCTTCTTGGGTTGCATTAAAGATCTGGGAATTTGTTTTAAACTTTCATTTTTTAAAGAAAATTAAATAGAGGTGAATTGTTCATTAACAATGGAGTATATACTAAGACATGGATTAATACCTTCATAAAAAATGATCTAAACAAAGTGCTTCCTGTCTTTATTTATGTTAAAGCCTATAAAGTCTTCAGTGAAAAGGGGAAAGTACTTTCCTGGAATATATTTGTATCTGTCACAAGCTGCATCTTGAGGAAATTGGCAGGCACTGGAAGTGGAATAATTCCTTAGCTCTCTGTTTAGTTTGGATTTCTTCGATTCAGGGGTGGCTTAAAACCAGAATTACGAATATTTGCTCCTAACAAGCATCTAACTTTTTCTCTTGCTTTGTGTTTATTGCAAGTGCTGGATAAATGTTGGTTCACTTGAATCATCTTGTTCGTCCTTTTTGGGGGCTGTTGGGGTTATTCAGTCTCCAAAATGATCTCTCCACTGACAGTTTCCACCTCTAACTCGCTGTACACACATCTGCCAGATCCGACTTTCTGAAATTCTTCTTGAATCCCTCTTCAGTTTGCGAAAGTCTGTAGAGTGAACCGAAGACTCTCCATTTTACCTCCATTACTTATTCCTTCTCTATTCTCCAGGAACTCTTGTTCTAACCACCCTGGCTTCAGAGCCCCCTGGACATACTCTGCGTCTGTGTTTTCCCCCAGGACTTCTCCCCATATAGGATGCCTTCCCCTGACCTCTTCCCCTGTGGAAGTCCTATCTCATCCATCAGGGCACAGCTCAAGTTTCTCACCCTCTAGGAAGATCCCCCAGTTGTCTGAAACCTCCTCTAGAGAGCCGTGTGCCTGTCTGCAATGTATTTGCAAACAGAAAAAGAGAGTGATAGATCTTTATACACGCTCTTAGTACCCTTTACAAATGTGTGAAAACATTCAGCTGCTGTAAAATCTTTTGAAGAAAATAGATCCAATTAGCATTGAATTTTATGTCAGGAAAGCCGAGGGTTTCAAAGGAATTCCCTTCGCTCATTCAACAGCTATCTTTTGAGCACATGCTGCATGCCAGGCGCTGAAGAAGAAAAAGCAGACAAAAGGACTTGCCTGCAGGATGCTGAAGCTCTAGTCCATGTGGTGGCTTTGAGGGTCTGCCCTGTGCCAGGGACCACGGCTGAAAGCTGAGGGGGGCTGTCCACACGGGGAAGATGACAGCATAGCTTACAGGTGGGCAGCAAGATGGGGGATGGGGGGGCAAGTGTGGGGTGCCACGCTAGGGGAATGGCTTTGCTATTTTCTTGTTTTAAGGTTGCTAATGAAGAAGAAACTCAAAATAAGAGGAGTGGCCTATGGAACTAGCTGGAGGTAACTGAGAAAGGGGTGCCAACTTTGAGCAATCAAGATGTGGGCAGTATGGGGTAACAGATTTTTATTTTTAGGACTCCTGGGAAGAGCCCCCAACTGGGTCATCATTCCCTGAACTCTGTATCTGAGCCTCAGCAGAAGCCAAGACCCTCCTTCATGGCACACTCACCATCCAGCAGGTGCCGCCTCTGCCCTCCCCCATGGCTCCTCCACCACCTGGCACTTACCCCCACCACCCTCCAACTGGCCTTCCATCTCCAGGGAAAGGTGACTGAGGTGACTTGGAGCTATGGTGTTAACCACCGCACGCACCCTGCTCTCATCACCTCTCTTGTCTCCTCTCCCTGAGTGGGGTGGGAGGCTGTAGGGACAGCCTGCTCAGACTGTTGCCAGATGACCCTTCTTGCAGAGGAGAGGTCCATAGGCCACTCCAGGGAAGGGCCCCCACGAGACAAGGTGGTGGCTGCATTTGTAATCAGCCATCCCAGAAGCAAAGACCTGAATGGAAACCCACATCCCTGTCACGCTCTCATACCCCAGGACAGTGCCTGGCGAAGAGTGGGGGTCTGATGAATGTCGAGGAACCTATTGTCAAGTGCGGAGGAAGTGGCTGTTGACACTGTGCCCACTGCGCCAGGCAGCGGGGCTTTAGTGGAACTCGGGAGTTGGCCCCAATCCCAGAATCGCCAGGCTGATGCCAGCCTCACTGATGGCGGCCAGGCGTGGGGCACCCGGGGACCCCCTGGGGGGCCTGCTCGTGGCCGGCCGGCCTAGGGTCTGGCTCAAGATTGGGCCCGGTCTGCCCGAGATCGCTCAGAGGTCAGGGCCTCCCCGGAAGGGCCGTCCGGCGAGCCTCCTTCCCCGTCTCGGAGGCCGGGCCTGCTCGGGGCCTGCTCGGGGCCTGCTCGGGCCGCCCGCGCCCTCCCGCCCGGCCGGG